CAAGAATTTTCCCTCATATGGAGACACCACCAAATAATAATGAAGACAAGATGTGTTTGTGAAACACTGATGTCCCTGTATGGACGCCTATGGCGAAGGTTGAAGTTTCTCAAATATATGTCAAACTCAAAGGTCAAGGTCAAAGGGTTCAAATTGTTCAAATTGTTGGTATCAGAAAAAAGTCTTGTCACAAGGAATTAGTAAATTTAAAAATTTCCTATTATGAGCAAAACATTTATCAAAATCTAATTTACATCATTCATAGAATTCAAACTGGTATATAATGAATTAAGCATGTAAAATAAATGTAAGAGGTTCTGAGTTATAGGTCTCAGGGAGAATTTCATACTCAATTTAATTTGATGAATACATGTAAATTACAGGAACATAGCAACCGGGGGGGGGGGGGGGGGCCTGCCCCCCCCACTTTTTTTCCCAACATTACCTGTACTATAAGAAAATGTCTATTTAAAAGATGGTTGCCCCCCCCCCCCCCCCATTTTTACCACAGTATATGCATAGCAAGGAAATATGGGGAAAAAAATGGAAGTGAAAGTAATTTTGCCTTGAAAAAAAGGTGGCCACTACTCCCCCCCCCCCCATTTCATTTTTTTTTCTGCTTGTTAATTTTTTTAGGTAAGTAAAAAAAAAATTCTCAGGTTGCCCCCCCCCTTTTTCAAAAACGATGCTACGTGCCTGAATTATATATAATTATTTTGACTTTTTCCTTGGAAAGCCGCCCGTAGGATTGTGTATTTAGAGGCAAACACCTTAGTGCGGGTATTACTGTCTCATGACAGCATCTAGTTCAAGGATGGATGAACATTTTTCTCAAAATAATATATTATTCAATGTATTACATTCATGTGTATTCTTTATGTTTTATATACTTAAACATAAATTGTCAATATTGATGTCTCTCTTTTTCAAAATTTGGAGAAACGAAGCAGATTAAAAATACAATTATAGTGAAAATCATCAACTTATTTCTCGATACGTATACCTGAAACGTTAACAGTGACATGTGTTAAGCTGTATTAAATCTAAAATACAAAGTTTGGAATATTTAGATATATTGTATTTATTTTAGGTTGAGTATTAAAATCATTGTGTCAAATTATAAGGAATTTAATTGTTTGTTTGCTTCTGTATTTTCAGTAAAAATGGTTCTTTTAAAAGGATTTGAATATCATTTTATTTATCCCTTTGTTTGTATCTCTTTCTCCAAGCTATCTGACCATCTGTCTCTTAAACATCCGAGGCTTAAAGACGTTCCCTTGACTAGATAGAAAACACAATAAAACTTCTATAATTACCATTTATATAGCACAAGGGCATATATAAATATTTTGACAAGTGATATCTCATTGTCCAGGAAAGGTGGTTGTGTGTTTCTCTTAGATATAACAAGCGATTTATAAATTTTATATCATTAAGGGTTGCAACTGCAACGCTTAATGATACACTAGTGTGTATCATTAAGCGTCGAATATGTCGATATTTGCTTGTTTCATTAAGCGTCGGTTTTGCACTGCATTTGTGACGCTTAATGATATAATTCTGTCATTAGGCGGCGATTTAGCATTAGCAGTTGATGATGTCAGCTATTAATGCAATAATTTATGGCATAAAGCGTTGCAATTGCAACGCTTAATGCTATTTGTATCATTAGGCGGCGTTTTATCATTAGAGGTTGCTACAGCCCTTCTTTTATAAAAAAAAAATGAATACCCTTTACCAAGAACACTATGGGTTGAGGTTAAAATTTGCCTGTGGTTTACAACGACATGTCGACAACGACATAAAACGGACATAGAACAGAAAACCCCACTTGCGCCGGTGTTTTGGTTGTGATTAAAATAAATACAAAAAATGAATACAAAGTAAAATCGCTTAGATCACTTTTCTTTCTATCTACTTTAATTAATATCAAAATTAAGAGATAATAACGTGAATTACTTACACTATGCATTTTTTGATTAAGAAATTAGATGATCTTCGGTAGAATCTTTCAATTCCTGCACCTACAACTTTAAGAAAAATACAAATTTGGTAAACATATTTAAAAAATACATACACATAATTTGAATAAAGTAAACCATCTCTTTAGGATTTTATCAGGATTTTTTAAAATCACTTTTAAATCGAATGAGAAAATAAAGTATTTAGCAACCTTGAATACTTCACTAACAATATAGTTAAAGTATTTTGGATGTTCTTCTTCAGGATATCTGGATTCAGAATAATCCCCAATCAGATAGAAACAATGGTTTTAGCAAACATTTAATGTTCATTTGTTAACATATGTAGCATAACGAAATAAAATAAATCAATGAAAAATACACAGAACAAAAACTACTACAAAGCAAAAACATCAACACCGCCTCTACTCAAATGAAATGTTTGCTTTATTATTGATAGTTCTTTTTGGTTATTAATATGTATTTGTTAATTTCAAAAAATTGAATACACACCTTCAGATTCTTTATCAGGATAGTTCCATTTGGACGAGGTATCCGCAACTTTGTCGATTAAACAAGACATTTGCAAGTGTTAGAATTTCATTTAAAAAAAGGCAGTTAATGCATGTACTTGTAGCTTGCTTTTCGTAATGGTGTTTTATTACAAATAAAATGAATATTTCTAGCGGTATGTACAAGTGCATTGTTTAACAAATGCAAAATAATTATCAAATATTTAAAACCTTCATTTGAAGTTCTTTTTCCTCTTTTCATATTTGTCTGTGATCTAAAACAAAGAGAGATAATTTAAGAGCTGGCATATTTTCATTTTAACCTACATGTAATAAAATACATCTTATTTCAATTTTCATAAAAGCATCTTAATGTTTACACAACCTTGCTAAAAGATTAAATTTCAACATAGGAATAGAAAGTGAAAATGTTTCTTCTCAAGACCAACAGGTTCTATAGCATCTGGGTCTCTTGGGAGGGCTAAAACAGGGGTACAAAGTTATTTTTGATGTTTCTAAAACAGATATTGACACATTTTTTCTTCAAGAGAGAAACGTACATGAGTAACCTTGGATGGGATAGAATTTCAAGGCCATTTGCATATAAAATCAAGGTTTAAAACCACCATGTTATGTAAATTCATATTACAGGCAAGAACCACTGGGAATAGATACTATTCCATTGATCAGAAATGTCACATTTGTATTTCAAATCGCAAACTTCGTGCCGAAAAATTTCATCTGAGTTTTCCGCCGTATATATACAAAAGTTTCAAAATAGTCAAATACTTTACATTTCGAATCTTGTATGAAGGCCACTTGAGGTATTTAATTTCTATACATACATTGTAGTTTGACGAAACAAAATAAAGAAAATCACAGTAATTTATCATAATAGGAAAAATAATTCTTGTTTGCAAGTCCCTCGTTATTTCCTACAGATCCCATACTCTCCCTAAATCTTTGAACGAACCAGAGCAAATCGAGGACGTCATCGGTCTGCTATGACGTTGTCGATAATGTGAACATGGCCATGGTCAAAGACGAATTATTCTGGAGAATACGCGTATTTACGATATTTGTTGACTTAAACAACATTCAATGAGTTTTTATAAGTTTATTTATTGATTGTTTTGACATTTTAAGTTGGATTTTATCGATATTAATCTTGTATACGTTTCTTTTCGGTATAAAGTATTCCTACGCCGTACAAAATAACGGATTGTATGGCGGCCTCAAAGAGAAATAATTTTAATAATTAAAAAAAATTGTAATTGGAATTATAAGAATTAAACGTTCTTTTTTCAGAATTTATCGATGTGTAAACTCTGCCTTTTTACTCACAAACTTTACATAAAAGTGCTTCGCACTTTTATTCAGTTTGTGAGTAAAACGGCAGAGTTTACACATCGATAAATTCTGAAAAAAGAACGTTTAATCCTACAGTAAAATTTTGATTCTTCGTTGTGGCTCGACGTGCACCCGACTCATGGAGGTCTTGATTCGAACAAACTTTATCTACACTGTCTGACAAGCTTATATAAATTTATGACAAAACATCACTTAATATATTCTTGAGAATAAAGTTTTTAAAAATATGTTTTCATATAAATTCCAATGTACCTGGAACACAAATTCCTACGTAAAACTTTAATCACGATCGAATTTTTTTTTACCTCTACTGATTATTTTTCAGTATATAAAAGTAAATTGTTATATTTTGCCTTTTCTTCGAAAAACACCGTAAAAAGACTGATTCCCTGCAAAAAGGTGCATCAGTTTTATGATCTAATACATATCTATTCGGAACACCACTGATTCCTTTAAATCAAATCAAAAGTACTGAGATGTTCAAAATTAACATCATGAATATTCATACTGTTGCTCAGTTAACGTTAGATGTAAAACATGTATATCGGTACGATAAACAGTTAAATATATCATTGAGGGAGTCAGCAATATTCCAGTTCCCCTCGAGCAAGCTTATTTCCCTCGGCTGCACCTCGGGAAATAGAGTTGTTCTAGGACAACTGAAATCTGGCGGACTCCCTCAATGATATACTTTAACTGTATATTGTTAACCCACCTTACCCCTGACTCCTTCCTTTGAAAAAAAAACAAAAAATTAGCACAGTGTCAAAAAGCTTTCAAACATAATTAATAATAATAATTTCTTGCCTGATGCATATGGCTCTTGAGTAGAAGTTTTTGGTATATGCACACTGATTGTTCACTATCTCTTATTATTAACCCTTGGAAGAGGGCGTAGCCCTTCTTTTATAAAAAAAAAATGAATACCCTTTACCAAGAACACTATGGGTTGAGGTTAAAATTTGCCTGTGGTTTACAACGACATGTCGACAACGACATAAAACGGACATAGAACAGAAAACCCCACTTGCGCCGGTGTTTTGGTTGTGATTAAAATAAATACAAAAAATGAATACAAAGTAAAATCGCTTAGATCACTTTTCTTTCTATCTACTTTAATTAATATCAAAATTAAGAGATAATAACGTGAATTACTTACACTATGCATTTTTTGATTAAGAAATTAGATGATCTTCGGTAGAATCTTTCAATTCCTGCACCTACAACTTTAAGAAAAATACAAATTTGGTAAACATATTTAAAAAATACATACACATAATTTGAATAAAGTAAACCATCTCTTTAGGATTTTATCAGGATTTTTTAAAATCACTTTTAAATCGAATGAGAAAATAAAGTATTTAGCAACCTTGAATACTTCACTAACAATATAGTTAAAGTATTTTGGATGTTCTTCTTCAGGATATCTGGATTCAGAATAATCCCCAATCAGATAGAAACAATGGTTTTAGCAAACATTTAATGTTCATTTGTTAACATATGTAGCATAACGAAATAAAATAAATCAATGAAAAATACACAGAACAAAAACTACTACAAAGCAAAAACATCAACACCGCCTCTACTCAAATGAAATGTTTGCTTTATTATTGATAGTTCTTTTTGGTTATTAATATGTATTTGTTAATTTCAAAAAATTGAATACACACCTTCAGATTCTTTATCAGGATAGTTCCATTTGGACGAGGTATCCGCAACTTTGTCGATTAAACAAGACATTTGCAAGTGTTAGAATTTCATTTAAAAAAAGGCAGTTAATGCATGTACTTGTAGCTTGCTTTTCGTAATGGTGTTTTATTACAAATAAAATGAATATTTCTAGCGGTATGTACAAGTGCATTGTTTAACAAATGCAAAATAATTATCAAATATTTAAAACCTTCATTTGAAGTTCTTTTTCCTCTTTTCATATTTGTCTGTGATCTAAAACAAAGAGAGATAATTTAAGAGCTGGCATATTTTCATTTTAACCTACATGTAATAAAATACATCTTATTTCAATTTTCATAAAAGCATCTTAATGTTTACACAACCTTGCTAAAAGATTAAATTTCAACATAGGAATAGAAAGTGAAAATGTTTCTTCTCAAGACCAACAGGTTCTATAGCATCTGGGTCTCTTGGGAGGGCTAAAACAGGGGTACAAAGTTATTTTTGATGTTTCTAAAACAGATATTGACACATTTTTTCTTCAAGAGAGAAACGTACATGAGTAACCTTGGATGGGATAGAATTTCAAGGCCATTTGCATATAAAATCAAGGTTTAAAACCACCATGTTATGTAAATTCATATTACAGGCAAGAACCACTGGGAATAGATACTATTCCATTGATCAGAAATGTCACATTTGTATTTCAAATCGCAATCTTCGTGCCGAAAAATTTCATCTGAGTTTTCCGCCGTATATATACAAAAGTTTCAAAATAGTCAAATACTTTACATTTCGAATCTTGTATGAAGGCCACTTGAGGTATTTAATTTCTATACATACATTGTAGTTTGACGAAACAAAATAAAGAAAATCACAGTAATTTATCATAATAGGAAAAATAATTCTTGTTTGCAAGTCCCTCATTATTTTCGCAATAATTATAATTGTAGTGAATCAAGGCAATGCAAAGTTGCATAAAAATAATAAAAATGCAAGTATTGAACCATGCATGTACAAGCTGCACATATGAAAACAAACCGAAAGTTAAAAATATATATTTTAGTTATTTTTTGAAACCAAACAACCATTATAGATCACATTTAAAATAATTCAAGAAATCAGTTAAAGACATTTACATACACTAAATTGCGATTAAGTATCTTGACGTGGTGAAAATAAATGCACAAAGTTCCAATTTCAGTGGTTGGTTGTAATAAATAAAAAGAATGTTAGGTTGTGTCTAGCGCTTCTATGAATATTTATGAGGTGACTCAAATCCCATATAGTGTTTTACATGTATTTCCGCAACACTGCCACAGCAACACCGCAACAGCAACACCGATCATCGAAAACAAAGACCGATATGTAGAACTATGTTTCTTATTGTAGTCTACTTGTGTGCCAAGTTATATTGAAATCAGACCAAAACTGTAGGAGGAGTAGCATTTAAAAAAATGTTTACAGACAGACAGACGGACGGACAACGGACGCATAACTATCGCATAAGTTCTTCTGGTCTCTGACGTAGAGCTAAAAATCGCGCATTAATATTGAAATATTCAAATTAAAATTACATTGTCAAGAAAATATATTATTTCAATCAATTTTATGAATTTTTTATTAATCATTCTTATTGTTTAATGCATTGGTTTTTTTTTATCTTTTCTTTTTTAATTTATTATACACGTGCATGTATCTGCAAATTTTCAATGCCCTTATCAACTCAGAGATTGAAACTCCGTCTGCATGTGACTTGGGTATATTGCTACGTAAGTAATGGAGGTGACGATTTGAAAAATCAGTCATCACGTTAATCATAAAGCTTAATTGTTAAATTACCATTAACCATAGGCGTCGGAACCGGGGAGGGGGGGGCTAGGGGGGGGCTTAGCCCCCCCACTTTTTTTCCAAATATATACTAAGTATAGACATTGAACATTGCTTCGCAGGTTTAGCCCCCCCACATTCCACAGACATGTCGCACTTTAGGTCAGAATTGGGGAAGGAGGTGCTGTTCGTAAAGAAATTTGGTACTGAAGGTCGAACTTACTACCCCCACCCCCACGAAATAGGATTTTAATGTTTGGGAAATTTTCCCTTTTTTTTTTTTTTTTTTTTTTTTTTTTTTTTTTGCTTGTAAGGTTTTTTTGAAGGTATGAATTTTTTTTTTACACTTAGCCCCCCACTTTCAATTTGCTTCCGACGCCAATGTTAACGTTTTCTTCAAGTAAATTTTATCTAAATTTGAAACAGATGTGTCAGACTCTATGACAATGGTTTTCGAGAGGTAAATTTATAAATGTTACTCTCAACTACTTACGATATTTATTTTAATTAATACTGAGTGCTTTATACAAATACTCAACTCGAGTGCATACATTCTGCAAAGTGAATATTTTATTGGAATATCTCATTAATATGCGTCTGAATGAAGATAGTGTTCAGATTTTTGCTGTGTTTTAGATTGAATTTCTGGCGGTTTGAAGCATTACTAGTATATTAAATATTAGCATAACTAAGACTTGCGCAGTACGTCATTATTGATATTACCGAAAGCATGCGGTGTATTACAAATTAGAATTGGACGTCATAAATCTGAGACACCCGAAGATCGAATCTGCCAGTTTTGCAACAATAACATTGAATAACATTTTTATTTAGCTGCAAATTATATGAATTTTAAAGGATTTCTTTCTCAAAAATAGAATTCAAAAAGAACAATCTGGTATTTTCATCTTAATTTATGTGCTAAATTTTCAAACATTAATAAAGACACATATGATATGTATCAGAAATTTAGTTTATGTTGAAAAGAAATTGTTTAATTGTATCATTACACATATTCTGTAACACTTTCATACTTACTTTTGCTTCAATTTTTTTTTTTTAAAAATTAAGACGACAGTCTCTTTATCTCTCTATGTATAACATGCTCAGCTAAAGGTACTGTGAGCACTGAGATCACTAAATGATAACCCCAACCGCATCCCAGATGATTTATTTATATTGACAAATCCCGAAATAAATGTTAGATAAAAAGCTAAACTAAGAGGTCACAATGGCATTATGTAATGTTCAAAGAATTTATGAAAGTCTCATTAAATTTCGACCATTGGTGTTAGAGGAGTTACGGATAAGAGATGGGTATCCTAAAGTGTAACAGACGGACGGACAGTCTTACAGAATACAAGTAAGATAATAACTAGCTCGTTTAGACGATATAGATAATTTTTTATAAATACAACGCTTACATGAATTACAGTTGCTGTAGTCCTTTTGTTTTTCATCAGCTTTCCTTTGAGCTTAAGGTTCATAAACCCTCTGCTCACTCATTTGAAATTTTTCTTTAATTTTCATGATTTTCCAAAGAAAATTTATATGCTGAATAAAATTCAAACAATTATAGCATGGCATGCGGGGCAAAATCTGACAAAAAATGGACTTGACAAATTTTTAAAGGAATAATAGACATTTCTGTCATTAACAGTTATCTCTTTTATCAGAGTATCAATGTACCTTAAGTTAACGTTTTAAATTCAATTTGGTCTGCTTCTTTTCTAAATCTACATGCAAATTCCCTATAGCTAACTGAACAAAAAGATATTTCACATAAATTCAAAGAACAAGAAAGAAACAGGTTAGAGATTCTTTATTTCTAAGTACAGGTGATTTTTGTTATTGATAAATTCTATCTTGGTCAATATTTATTCCCTACAGATACTGTACACTGGTGGTAATAAATTTTATCTTTGTCTATTTTTTACTCACTAAGGATGATGTTGTTTGAGCTCTGCAATCAACAGTTTAAGTTTTTAAATTTAAATATAGTAAATTTCCATTTCAAGTGTAGTATTTTGTTAATCTAAAAACATCCTTCATACAGGTGTAGAGAAAAAATATGTTCTTCAAAGATTGGCTGTGAAATACTCGTCAAGATTGGAATATAAAAGGCTCTAGAAATCAATTTGAAAACACGTAGTTATAAGGAAAAATATAACATAAGTTATTTAAAATTAGATGGAAGAAATGAAGAAAAAGAAGCAAAATTATAAAAAGACGAAAGAAGAAACCAAAAATCCAATAAAATCTTCATTAAATGCAGTCAAACACATTCACGAAAAAACAAAACTAGTAAATAAAATGAAGACACAATGAACACAATATGGCACGAAACTGAATAATATAAGCAAAAAAAATCTTTATAAAAAACACATAATTTTCTAAAAATCATGAAAATGCAAAAGCAAAACGTAGAGTTCCAAAATAAAAAGCTCAAGTCAAGGATATATATATATTATAAAAATAGAAAATTCTGACTAATATAATAGTGGACGATAAAAAGTGTACTGAACACATGCATGGTAAGTCTAAAAGCACAACAAATGATGTCTTTAAAACATTGGAGTACAGGTACAACCATCTATCTGAATACATCATGAGAAAAAATACTTAATATAATACTGAGTTATAAAAACATGTTGAACACTTTCTGGGCAAGTCTAACATTCATTTCAATGTTTATTTTATTTTTTTTTTTTTGCATGTCGTAGTAAAGTTTACTTCCCTATAGAACACTTGACTGCAAAACCTTTATTGAATAGGCTCGCGAGAAAAATTTATCAAACATTTAAAAAAAAACAAAGTAATTCAATGCACAAATACTAAATATACATGTAATAACCTTAGTTAAAATGTATATACCTAAGACTAAACACGCGCACATATAGAAATACACTTAAACAAAACAAAGGAAAGTTGAACTAAGAAATCAAACAGATTGTTTGGTAAATTCGTAAATACCCTTGACGATAACTTCCATCTGCTTTTTACTGAAGGTTTTATAAATACTGAAGACCCTATCCCTCTTGCTGAGATCTACCAGCACTGGATCAGTCTTGATGGTAGTCAGTTTCTGTGCATACAATTCCTCCAAATTCTCAGAAGATTTTTCCAGGCAATACACAATAAATACAAGAGCTAAAAGAAAGAAAACAATAAAGTTTTTCAAATTCTTCCATTATTCAAATTTTCCCTAGATTTTTTATTATGTATATATTTGCTTTGATCAATTGGTATATACGAGTAGATTAACTACTTTTCAGAAAAATGGGAAGTCCAGCGCATTTAATCATATTACCATTAGTTTTCATCAAATATTTCACTGTTTGTCGCCTTGTACCAGTTTCCGATTTATCTAGGATCACATTTCCTTCGTTGTAATCAATATACACAAGGAAAACCTAAAAGGAAAGGCTTTTTTGAGTAACAGTTACTTATTTTGGAAAGTGCAGTTTGACCTCTGTATAAGACATCAATTTATTATCTAATACAAATTCGAAAGTAAAAAATATATTTTAACCAGGTGGATAATGTGTAAACAAACAGCATCATTTAAAATTGAGAGAATGATTGAGCTGAAGATTACAAGTAGGAACCAAGAACGCTAAAGAAATCTGTTAAAACTATACAAACAGACAGGGAATAAAAAAGATAACGAATAGTAACCAAGCTCCAAAGTCCGTTAAATATATAGAAATCGGGAGCTGGGCAAGAGGGAGCTCTCAAAATATCAGAGGTTTGATGAAGTGGCTATGAAGGAGTAGGCCTACATGTAGTATTCTATGTGGATAGGAAAATAAATTTATATAAACATTATTTATTTCTTATTCTTTTTCCTATTCTCTATATACATGTACGTGTATACTAGTAATTTATAATGCATAAAATTTCAAATCTATGTCATCTTATAAATCTTTTTGGCTCCAGAGTTGCGATGCAAGAATTTGATCAAGATTGTAAGAATCTTCCACAATTTCATTATATATTCATTGCAAAATTTTGGTCTAGACATTAATTGCATTGACAAAAAGACAGACAAATTGTTCATAAAAGACTTCAAAAAGAAAAGAAAACAAGAGGCCCATGGGCCACATCGCTCACCTGAGAAGCTTTGACCATTCTGTTCTTTATCTGATTTCCCCCTTGTTATACATAATGCATCCCCACCCTACCCCACTGATCATAATTTAGACATTTTGAAATCTACACTACCCCATGATCCTTCCATGGGCACATATGTTTCAGCTTTTTTTGCCCAGTGGTTCTTGAGAAGAAGAATTTCAAAGATTTTTCCTAAATATTTCTATGTGAAACTTTGATTCCCTATAAAGGCCCCGCCCTTCCCCCGGAGGTCAAGATTCCTACAATTTAGAATTAACACTACCCCAGAATGCTTCCACATAAGCTTCACTTTTTCCAGCCCAGTGGTTCTTGAGAAGAAGATTTTCAAAGATTTTTCCTATATATTTCTATATAAAACTTTGATTCCCTATTGTGGCCCCGCCCTTCCCCCGGGGGTCATGATTTGAACAATTTAGAATCTACATAATACCAGGATGCTTCCACATAAGTTTCAGCTTTTCTGGCCCAGTGGTTCTTGAGAAGAAGATTTTCAAAGATTTTTCCTATATATTTCTATGTAAAACTTTGATACCCAATTATGGCATCGCCCTTCTCCCGGGGGTCATGATTTGAACAATTTAGAATCTACACTACACCAGGATGCTTCCACATAAGTTTCAGCTTTTCTGGCCCAGTGGTTCTTGAGAAGAAGATTTTCAAAGATTTTTCCTATATATTTCTATGTAAAACTTTGATTCCCCACTGTGGCCCCGCCCTTATCCTGGGGGTCATGATTTGAACAATTTAGAATCTACACTTTACCAGGATGCTTCCACATAAGTTTCAGCTTTTCTGGCCCAGTGGTTCTTGAGAAGAAGATTTTCAAAGATTTTTCCTATATATTTCTATGTAAAACTTTGATTCCTCATTGTGGCCCCGCCCTTCTCCCGGGGGTCATGATGTGAACAATTTAGAATCTACACTATACCAGGATGCTTCCACATAAGTTTCAGCTTTTCTGGCCCAGTGGTTCTGGAGAAGAAGATTTTCAAAGATTTTCCCCATATATTTCTATGTAAAAATTTGATTCCCTTTTGTTGCCCCGCCCTTCCCCCGGGGGTCATGATTTGAACAATTTAGAATCTATACAACCCAAGGATGCTTCCACATAGGTTTCAGTTTTACTGGCCCAGTGGTTCTTGAGAAGAAATTTTCAAAGATTTTTCCTATATATTTCTACGTAAAACTTTGATTCCCTATTGTGGCCCCGCCCAACCCCGGGGGCCAGGATTTGAACAATTTAGAATCTACACTACCCCAGGATGCTTCCACATAAATTTCAGCTTTACTTGCCCAGTGGTTCTTGAGAAGAAGATTTTCAAAGATTTTTCCTATATATTTCTATGTAAAACTTTGATTCCCCATTGTGGCCACGCCCTTCCCCCGGGGTCATGATTTGAACAATTTAGAATCTACACTATACCAGGATGCTTTCACATAAGTTTCAGCTTTGCTGGCCCAGTGGTTCTTGAGAAGAAGTTTTTTTAATGACTCCACCCTATTTTTGTCTTTTCTTGATTATCTCCCCTTGCGAGGGGATATGTCCCTTCATTTTAACAATTTAAATTTCCCTTCACCCAAGGATGCTTTGTACCAAGTTTGGTCAAAATTGGCCCAGTGGTTCTTGAGAAGAAGTCGAAAATGTGAAAAGTTTACAGACGGACAGACAGACGGACAGACGGACGAAATGTGATCAGAAAAAGCTCACTTGAGCCTTCGGCTCAGGTGAGCTAACAATCAATGAAATCAAACGTTTTCAACGAATTGAATACTAGTACATGTAGTCGTATTTTCGCTGACTATTCAGATCACACATGACAAACATTTAACTACAAAATTACATTAAAGCTTTACATATTAAATAAAAATTAAGATATTACGTATACCGGAAACGTTATATTACCTTAGAAGGCGGAATGCTATCTTTAAGATCATCAAGGCTGTTTTTTTTAACGACAACTCTTTTTGTCTGTAGTTTTAATTCACCATATTCTGCAATTGTTTTAGTCATTGACAGATGGTTTGTCCTGCTGGATGATTCATCAAAGCTTACGATGCAGAGAGAATCTTCAAGATTCCCTTCCTTTAAAAATAAGAAATCAAAATTCACGTAAAAAGAAAATCTGTGTCTATTGTATTAATAATTTACTCAGGTAATTTTGTGACTTGCATTTAAACATGTTCCAGGACACTTCACTTTTTAGATATTTTTTTTATTTGTGTGTATATGTGTTATATACATTTTCACACAATTTGTGCGCTCATTTTTTATGCCCCCGTAAACGAAGTTTCGGGGGAATATCGTTTCTGTCGTGTCCGTCTGTCTGTCTGTCTCTCTGTTTGTCTGTTTGTCCGCAAAAACTTTAAACCTTGCCCATAACTTTTGATTAAGTGGAGCTATGACTATCATATTTCATATGTGTATTCCTTGTGACACCAAATTTGACCTTGACCTTGGAGTTTGACCCACTTTTACATGAAAATTTTAAAATTTTACTTTGGCCATATCTTTTGAACAGTAGACACCAGGGCATTTATACTTCACACATGTAATGCTTGTTAAAAGGCCTTTCACTGGATACCAACAACCTTGACCCTTTGACCTTGACTATTTCTATACTTGTGAAAAAACTTTAACCTTCGCCATAACTTTTGAACGGTAAGGGATAGGGCTTTCATACTTCATATATGTAATTCTTGTGAGAAGACCCTTCATTGGATACCAAGAACTTTGATCCTTTGAACTTTGAGATTGACTTACTTTTAAAAAGTAAACCTTGACCATAACTTTTAAAAAGTTAGGGCTAGTGCTTTGGTACTTTACATATTTGATCGGAACACTTCTAGTATACCGGTCCCCATAAATATGGCGCTAAAATAGGTGCCGCCGAAGGCGGTGAACAATATATAGACGATCGCGTGAGCGATCGACAAAATCAAAAAAGAAGCCACAAATTGCAAATTTGACCCCAAATTCGTGTTCCTTGTGAAAAATTGGGTTTAAAAAACTGGTTTTTAAACACAGTTTTTTAAATGAGAATTAAAAGATTTCGTAAAATAACGTACTTGTTTAGGAAGTAAATCTCCATCTTGCGTTGTTAAGGAATGTAGTCACATGATCAATTTTTGACGTAATCTCATAAATATTCATGAGTTGCGTCACTTATGTGTTGACGTAGGCCTAATGAAGAAATGCCTGATAGGACTCAAAGTGCAATGTTATTAAAATTGCATGATTTTTGTGAGAAATACAGGGATTTAAAAAATGTTAGCTAATTACTGGTCATCGATGGATTGAATTGTGCATCATTATCGATTTGAAAGGAAAAATATTCTGAATATTTGGAAATGATAAGGAGGTCAGGATATCGGGCTGCAGTTAACGGTAAGTCGCTTTTACAATAACTTGCCTAAACTCAGTGCTAAAAATCGTCATGTTTCGACAATAGAGTTGATTTACCCGAACTTTCATTTCCTTAAACTTTCCTGTTCTTTGAAAAGCAAAAATTTCGTGAACTAAACCAAAGTGTAAGATATCGGCACGATTCGACAGGCTGATTCATGCAAGTTTTTGGTCACAAAAGGCACTTATAGTGCCTTTTGTAAGCAAAAATGACATGAATAAGCCCAAAGTCAGAAAGATTACAGAGTGGATCTATAAAACAATCCCAACTTTAAAAAATATATAACCTAACCCTAATCACTCGATCGAATGCGTTTCGTTGAAGCGAGTGGGAAATTGCGGTTTGTTTACATTCTGCATAGCAACGGCAAGGGAAATAACTGCTCATGCGCAATCGCGTGATTCTGGGGACCGGCATACTAGAAACTTCCCATTTGATCATTATGACAAAACCTTTCATTTGATAACAATAACTTAGACCCTTTGACCATGACCTTGGAGTTTGACCTACTCTTTAAAAAATTGAACGTAGACCATTACTTCTGAACGGTTAGGGCTAGGGCTTTCATGCTCTACATAAGTATTTTATGTGGCAAGACCTTTCATTTGATACTAATAAAATTGACCTTTTGACCTTGACCTTGGAGATTTTTGTACTTATTATAAAACCTTTACATTAGCTTACTTTCAAATTTTACAATGGTTTTCCATTGAGAATACCCTACTTTTGGTACAAATTAATTAAATTTACATTCAAGAAAAGCTTAATATTTGCTATGTTGCCATACGGGGGCATCAGTGTTTTACAAACATTTTTTTTTCAAATAATAATCTCAAAAAAGTCCAATGAACCATGATCGGGGTGAAAATATGGTTAAGTTAGGTCATCCATTACGACTAAAAATATATTAAATATATATCTCGTAAAATCACATATTTTAATGGGTTCACATTTTCAAGGTTTGAGGAAAACAAAATAGTTTGGTTTCGTAGTTGAAGAATATTAAGTATCAATGAACAAGAAATTTTATTGTGGTCATAAATTTGTGCGTCCCTCCATGTCTCCTAAACAACTAAAATCAGACTTCCACGAAAATTAGTGATTCACAGTATATTAAAAGCCATCAAAACTATTTTTTTACTGTTGATAAAAAGCATTGTAATGAGTTATTCTACTTAAACTGTATTATTTATTCGTTTTAACTGTATTATTTTGTTTAAGATACAGTAAAATCATTAATCTGATTTGTTTTAAAACATTTTCAAATGAATTTAATTTTTTCTTACATGTATTGGCTTTGAAACCGCAGGTTTGTGTGTTTGGAGTTCAGTTTTTTGTCCCCTTAATATCTTATACACCAGCAATAACACTATCAGTATAATTAGTAGAAGTGAACCTAGTATACCAAGCACAAAGCAGAAACTTCTAAAACTCATATATTCTCCCCAAATATCTGAAAATACAGAAAGCAAAACGTGTTTAATTACGCTAAGTAAAACGAAGGGTACAGAAATAAAAATAAAAAGTGTACCTAGATACTTCTTGCAAAATTGAAAGAGAGGGGGCTTTGTAAATATAAAATTTTTCAACTAGAAGGAAAATAAAACATACCAATCTGTAACGGCATTTGGTTTCTTTTTCCTGCCCTATTAGTATCTTCATCTGATGTTGGTATCTGAACACATGTACATGTACATACTTTATCATTAATAGCTTGTTTTAAATCAGCAGCTGTCTTTTCTATCAAAGATTCAATTTTTCTTACTTTCTTTTCCAATTCCTCTGTAAAGTTTTTTTCAATAGAATTTATACTTTCCGTTATTTTTTTCGACATCTCAGCCACACTATTTTGAAGCTGTGTTAATTTTCCTAATATGTTGCTTAATTCAATATTCAGTAAGTTTTCAAATTCATTCGCTTTTTCCATCAATTTTTTTAAATAATTCAAAATTTTCTCTACAATCTCTTGAGTAATATTTGCTGACTCTAATATTTCAATCAGCAATGTTTGTATTTTGAGCATTTCTTCTTTCATTTTATTGAGTTTAATTTCCAGGTTGAAAAAATCGATTTCATCTTTAACGTCCTTGCTCTTTGAACCATCATCAACTTCAGTATCGAAAGTATTAGGAACAGACCGATTTTGGGTAATGTTTATCTTTGACTTGTTAGAATGGAGTGGTTCAAATCCTTCTTCAGATCCTTCTTGCATCGTCAGTATGATGAATACAACTAGTCCAATGACACAAAGGACACTGGTAATAATTTAAAGAGAAAAAAAGAAGTACAAGTTCATTTTCTTAATATCACATTTCGATAATGAGGGCAAGTGAAATTAGTAAGGTATTTTCCTTTACACATATATCAATAACAACGTTTATTAAATAATTTTATTCCGTTGTGAATAAATAGAAATATATTCAACATGTCCATACAACATGGATAAATCGTTAATGGTATATTTGTAATAATAAAAAGAAATGTTTCTTCGGATCTCGCTACTAGGAAAATGTTATGAAAGTATGGGGATCATTTTTTTCATAAACAAATTAGTACTTTATAATAGTTGCTATAAATTCAGTTGCCAAAGTGAAACATAACGTAAGCATTTTGAACTGTTTATTCCCTCTAGAAAAGTGATTGTTACATGATATATATGTGATAACACAAACTTTTATCGATTAATTTTCTTTCTATCTAATCTATGTAAAATAAATATGAGAAAATAAAAGGAGTTACTTACATCGTCAATACTTTGCAGATTTTCTTGTCAACACTTATTTTCAAATTTGGTTTCTTACATTCCCTGAGAGTTCTCCTTTTTTGGATTAAGAAATCATATGCTTTTCGGTAGAATCTTTTAATTCCTAAATCTGCAATTTGAAGGGAAACAAACAAATTTGGAAGACATATTTTGACAATAAATCCACATAATTTAGATGTGATGTATGAAAATAACAAAAAGTACTGAAGCTCTAATGTCAATTCAATCAATAACTAGAGTGTTCCAAGGAACGCATGTGTCGCCTGCTTTTAGCTTCTTTAATGATGTAACTAAATCTAAAAGTGGTTAGCTATCTATATGCAACTAGCGTTTACAATATTTCATGAAAATGAAATCTAGCATGATAATTCATAAATATCAAAAACATCCACACATAGTATAAGACTGTAATAGAATATGTCAATCAAAAAAATATATATAATAACCAACCCTAAAATGAATACTGTAGTAATTAAGCTGAAATCTTTCTAAATAGTTATTTATCATTGTACGGGGGTCATTCAAAAGGTTCGTAGAATTTTGTGATAACTTTTTTTTATTTGACGTCATATTTTAACCAAATTAAGTTCACTTATTTTAACAATTAATTCAAATAATTTGAGAAAAAATGAATATACCTTGATAATTGTCGAAATTCTTAAAATTTTAAGGCAGCAAAAAAGGGATCACGGAGCAGGGTCAAAATTGAGCAATCTACTAGTTGTACACTTTATAATTTCTATAGTCATTACTCTAATAAATGGCGTTTATAGGGAATAAAATTGAAATGTTTAAATTAAGTAATAATCTATTACAACAGATGCTAAAATTTAATGTAATACATCGCTTCGTTTAAAGGATATCAATTTCTAAAGACAGATAGACTTCATTAAAAAAGCAAAAAACGACGACGTCAAAGGACGTCATGGAGCAGCGAGTAGCGATAAAATTTTGTTTTGCATTCGGGAAACCTTTAAAACAAACTCTGTGAATAATTGACGAACCAGAAAATCGATGAACAATGAACCATGGAATTCTTTATAATGGAAAAGACTATTTTTGGGTGTTCAAGACTTTGAATCACACGATGTATAGTCTGTAAAGACCATGTAATAGTTACAAATCTTGTCCAAAGAGTAAGTAACGTCGTGAAACTTGATGTGCGATTTACTTTTTCAGAACTTGTTTAAGCAAAGCTACGATGAAAAGAATTTGAAGTCATTGACAATCTAAATTAAGCTACTCAAACAATTGTAAGCACACTAGGTGTCAAGTGTTAAAGAGACAATTTTATGAATGGGGAAGACTCTACAAACCGTGTATGAAATGGAAAGCAGAGTACGTTTGCGAAACTTTCTCGACGTTGTTTTTGACGTCACGGTGTTGTTGACCGTGCTTCGTAGTGACAAAACATATTGCTTTTAAAATTGTCTAACATGAACTTGTGAAGTATCATTTTTAAAAAGGAATTTTTTTGAAACGGAGGGAAAGATGTTTTAAATATATTTTCCGTTTTCCGTTGATTTCTATAGTATAAAACACTAGTTTTACCAACATTTTAAGAGGTATCGCTCTTTGTTTTCCTAAATAAGTAATGTTTTGTGAAAATCAATACAATTATCTTTAAAAATATTAATTATTCATCGAATATGTTAACTTTAGACTTGAACTTGGATGTACGCGGGAGAACAATACTATCGTTCGCAGTTCTTTATCAACTAATTTTAAATGACAATTGAATAACCATTAAATATAATTCATTGTGAAAATAAAATTAAAACTTGTGAAAGTGTTTACATTAATATCTACATGCATCAGATGAGAAAAAAATGGTTTCTGATTCTACAGGTGTGCTGTTTTCATATCATTATTTTCAACAACGTCATAAAATTATGCGACGTTGTCCCTAAACTTGTGACGTTAATGTGAGTTAAATCTAATCGAGTTTCATGGGATTTAGTATAATTATCATATCTGAACGTTTACTATAAAATATTAGAAAGAGGAAAAAAAATTCTCTCTTTAAATCAATAAAAATCAGAAAATTAATTGTTATGCATTTAAGCCTGGTTTTTGAATGACGGTCATCATACGTATATATTATCCTATGGAAGAAAGACCCTACAACTTCCAGCTACAAATGTGCTAAACATATAAAGCACACTACATGTATTGTGATTTAGTCAGGCTTGAAAATTCATCTGTTTAGTTAAGTGGCTGGGATGCTCACTCTTCCATGGCACTTGATACTACCTCTGATGTTTTTGGAGGTCCGTGTTTGCTCTGCTCCTATTTTGTATTGTTTTATGGACTTTGATATTGAATATAGTTCGTTATCTCCACATCCTTCATTCAATTATTTTATTTTTTTCATCGCAATCAATTTATAAGTTCTAATACTAGTTTCACAGTGACAGAAATATGCAGAAAACATATAATCTTGCTGTGTGTTTTGATCTTGCTATAACCTCTTTAACATATTTTATATCAAGAAACCTTTTAACATATTTTATATCAAGAAATAAAAGAATAAATTGATATATCATTTAATATGGTAATGATGTCATGTATTTATTAGATAATTTTATTCGAGGACATTTATTTTATTCTGGTGTGTCAAATCTAAAAAAATTAAAAGAAAAAGACATTCAATGACATATAAAATTTCTTAACAATGTTATTTCATTGAGTACTTACCTTGATCCTGTTCTACACTTAACGAAGGTTGAGAGGATTCATCAGGAATTGCCGCCAGTGTATCTTACAAACAATAATAAATACAATGAATATATCTATTGAAATATAGATATATAATTATACATGTACATATAATATATATAATATAAAATATATACTGTATCTATATATATCTATACAATGAATATATATATTATTTTTAAAATAAAAAAATTCAGCATTTGAATTTAGCATTTTTTTCTTCTGTCAATAAATTTTAGAGTTAATGTGTTTTCAAGTCTTGCCGAAGAATTGAATTTGTTCTGTAACAGGTCGAGACCACTAGATTTTCTGACGTCAGCATAAATTTCCATGTAAAATAAGCTATCTGTTTACTTTACCTACTCTTGAATGAACCGCAATACATCGTGGGCTACTACAAGTACCCAGCTGTGTTGAAAATAAAGGGCAACTTGAATTGTTCCTTGAAAACTTATTTTCAATTTTTTTTTTTGAGATTTGTGAAAGAAATATTTAAAATGATGTATAATCTTTCATTTCTATGCTCACATTTACAAAAGAGCCATAGCTGCCTTACCGACGGTTCGGCCTACTCAAGTATTTAAATGGAAATTATATTTATAGATACATGTACCTTTTCAATTCAAAATCAAACTCCATGTATGTAATCATTTGTGAACCAGTGTTATATTTTCATAGTTGCAAGTTTGTTGCATGACAGTAATTTTACTTGTCCAATACTCCTATTCTAAACAAGATTGTTTGAAAATTTTAAAAATAAAACAGGCTAGCAGCTATGACATTGGGTCATTAAAACTTTTTGATCAAGACTGTTTTTCCCCAAGATACGTTCAATGTGTAATGTTGTATTATATATCTTTTTAAAAATTATTCATATATGTAAGTATTATAAAATACTTAAAAGAAAACATAGGAAAATGCACACAAAGAAAAAAAATCGTAGTTAAGTAACACACACTGTGAGACTTGAACTCACGATCATTATGTCTTCAATCCAGCAATTATACCACTACGCCACGAAGTCTTGGTAATCAAATGGGATAAAAGCAAGACAGATTGTTGAATTTTGAAATTATTTTAGAAGAGAAATTAAATACATATTTTCAACATTTTCAATATGAAGACCACCTTTAACCAAAATTATCTAAACGTAATGAAGTGCAGTCATAGCCAAATAAAATTATTCAGAAGTTGTTTTTCTGGATAA